TGGCTGTGGGGCTGGGGAAGAGGTCTCCTGGGGAAGTCCTGATTCTCCATCCAAAACTCGGCAGCCCTGTGCGGTAAAACCCTGTAGGGTAGTTATTTCTAGTTTATTTAGACATTTATTAATGCCCTAAATCTTTAACATTGCAAGGCAGGAATGTGAAATCTCCAGAATAACTTTCCCCTGATGCAGATAACTGGCTGAAAAGTATTCCCAGAGTAAAACTGCTTAAGATAAAGCACATGTGAAATGTTTCTTTGGTCTTGTTTCAGCCCTCGGAGCTCTCCACCCAGTCCCTCCATGTCTGTAGCCAGCAAGGTGAGTTCCCTGTCCAGTCACTGCTTGTTTGGGCTACATTTGTGTTTATGGATTTTATTCTGAAGTTGTTTACTCGTTTGGGAACATCTCTTGAGCTGCTCCAGAGTGAAAATTCATCCTTGTGGAATTTTTTGTTTATTTTTCTAAGGAGAGAAGCAGATGTGATTGGGTGCTCCTGCTCTCCTCTGTAACCTCTGAATTCATGTGTCTTTTCAATGGCGTTTGTCCCAGGGGTTGAAATTTCCTACGTATGAAGTTCCAGCTTAGTCTGTGGACATAACTGACAGGGTAGAGGCCATCAACGTCCCCACCAAAGGCAAAGTGAATAAATTCACCCCACGCTATACGTTGCAGAATCCACACAGGATGTTGTCACAGGAAACGGCTTCTTAACTTTGCTGCTCACAGAAAGTCTCTGCTCTGATCCTCCCAGGAGGCTTGGGGAGAGATTTTTTTTCTGTCCAATAAATGATTCTTGCCTTTTTCTGGAAACAGAGCAAGCAGGGAGGTTTCTCCCTTGGTTCTGCTCTGGGTTTTATTGTTGTTTGAAAGTTCTTTTACGCCTTTAATTTTTTTAACAATCTGCAAACTGCTGAGCAGTTCAGGAGCCATGGTGGAGTCCTCCAGGGGCTGTAATAGTCACCTTGTCAAAACCTGCCCAGAAGAAGTCACCGTGTGCTCTTGCTGCCATCCTTATCATGTCTGATGGGGCTGGAATCTGATAGCCCACCATGCTCAGAGGGACAGACTGCCTCCTGACCTGCAAGCCTGGGCTTGCTGCTCACTTTAATCGTTCTCATTGTCCCTGGAACAGCTTTGTCCCTTTTCAGTGATAGCACTTGAAGCTGTGGGCAGTTGGTGTCCTTTTTATCTTTGCCACTTACTTAAATCTCACAGCAAACAAGCTGTGAGGTTATTAGCTGTCACCATGTGGTCTGTATAGTGGGGAGCTGGGTGGAGCCAGGGGATGCAGGCAGGGCTGGGGCTCCTCTCAAATGAACAGCAAGGTGCCTGTGACCTTGAGGTGTGGTGCTGGAACTCATTACCACCACACCATGTGTGATTCTGGGCATCCATCTCCTCCTCCTGGGAGCTGGTAAGTGCTCATAGGCAGAATGGCCTCCTGTGGTGCAGCTCTGGTGGTGGTTGGTGGCTGAATTGTGAGCATGGGCATTAATCTGGGTCTCTTGGCTTCCAGTCTTGGGAAGGCATCCTGAAGAATCTAGTCTTAGATTCTAACCTTAGAATCTCAAGCATCTAGTTTCAGATATTTGTTGGTTGAGAAATTTTTGCTTAAAACACATAGTGAGTCCTGTCCTGTGTCTGTGGTGGCATGGAGATCACCAGTGGGAGATCACCAGTTGGAGATCACTGGCTGGGCAGCAGTGCTGATGTGAGGAGGGTGGTTCAGACCTCGCCCTTGTCTCTGCTGGCAGCTGTGGTGTCTGCCACCTGATAAGAGTCTTGCTGCTTCATTCCATCCTTCAGTGTAACCTCTTGACTCTGAAGACACTGAAACTACCTGTAGAGCAGTTTGCTTTTCCCTTGGGATTTTTCCTGTTCCTGTACTGAGAGCCCCCAGTGCAGGTAAGGGAACAGGATTCTCAGTAGATGTGCCTGATAAGTGAAGCATGAGCAGTTCAGGAAATTCCCACTGCTTAAGTTTGGGAATTTTGTTTGGTAACTACACAGCATTCAGCTCTGTGACTGCTGGGGAAGTCTTGGGGAAGAACTGTGCCCATCTGAACTGTGCCCATCTAAACTGAGCTGTGATGAGCATTGGTTTAACTGGAAAAAAAAACCCTTGGTTTCCAAAGAAAGAGTAAAAAGTGACCCCCTGAACATGCTACCTGGTGTTCCTGGTGCTCAGGAGGTGCATTTGGAGCCAGTCTGTGATGCACTGGGAAATTAACTGTTGGCTTAAAACCAGCTGGTAAGATGGGAGCCCTATTTCCAAAATATCTTTATGTAAAACTTTTTTTTCTATTAGCAAGGAGGAATCGAAGGGGGGAAGTTGAGATGCCAGCTTTGAAATGAAAAGCCAGATGCTGTGCAGCCTTCTGGAATTCCTCAGTTCCCGGGTGTACTTGGGAAACCTTTCCTAGTTCTGGTGGTCATTTGCAGCAATTTTGGAAGGTCCTTTCTTGGTTCTGTGCCTCACCAAGTGTGGTGGTTTGGTCCTTCTTTTGTCTACCGACCAGGGGCAACTTAGTTTAAATGTAGCTTTTCTAGTGGTTGATGCTTGTCCTGTCTGCTGCCTCCTTTTGAATGTAACTATTTTGTTCCCTCAGCGTTTCTCTCATCATGAGTTCTGAATTGAATGTTCCAGTGGATCCTTCCACTCCTGCCTGCTGCTCTGAGCCTGGCACCAAAGGAATGGATTACCGGGACTGGGTGCGGCGCAGCTACCTGGAGCTGGTCACCTCCAACCACCACTCTGTGCAGGCCCTTTCCTGGAGAAAGCTGTACCTGAGCCGAGCCAAACTGAAAGCCTCCAGCAGAACCTCTGCTCTGCTCTCTGGGTTTGCAATGGTACGTGTGCTTCGTAGCAAGGCTTTCTGGATCCAGAAGGTTTTAGTTCTCTAAAATCACCTGTTAATCGGTGTTCTCCTCCTGTCAAAGAGCAGGATGAACTGTTGTGTCCTGAAGAGGCAGGAGGCATCTCTCTGGTGGTGCTTGGGCTTCTGCTTGGCAGCTGCTGGCAGTTTGAGGCTGACTCTCCAGAGATCTGACCCACGAGCTGTTGAACAGTCAGCCCACACACTCCCAAGTCAGCCCCTTGAAAATACTAACCTGCAAGTGATGCAGAGTGCTCCAGCAGCGTTGGTGAACACCACAGGACCTGGGCTCTCCTTTGGCCCCAAGGCTGTTCCTCACTGGCTGCCTGGGGATGAGGTTGTCCTTGGGCATGGAGCTCCTCCTGGCCTCTGTGGCTGTGTGGTCCTGAACATTATCTTAATTTCTCTGTGTGTTTTTTCAGGTCACAGTGCCTAAAATAAGGTGGAGGTTGGGTCACAGTCTGCCAGAGTGAAGTTTGCATAGTGTGAATGAGGAGATCGTGTTATATGCTGAGCTGTGAGGAGAGGCTCTGCGGCCTCGGACCTGGTGGCAGAGGACTTCTGCCAGCTTCTGCAGCCTGAAGAGAGCCAGACCTGGGGTATTTTTGTCAGTGCTGCCTACAGGGAATAATTCTTGGGACTTGCTATCCTCTGTGCAGCATTAGGGTGTTATCTGGAAGCTGTCTGTGTAGATCAAAACCGTGTCAGGTAGTGAGCAAATGAGACTGAGGCAGTCAGTGGTCCAGTGCTCAGAGCTGCCCAAGCTGTGGTGTGCACGTGTCTGTGTGAGCCTCTTCATCTCCCCAACAGCTCTTGCCTACTGGGAGTGAGAACTGAAACCTGCTTGGGTTTTGTGCTCAGGAAATGGGCAGGTCTGGTTGCTCCTGAGGCCCATCATCTGACTGCAGAGAGGCAGAGGGCAGTGCCTCTGCCTGGGTCAGTGGGGCGTGATGGGGAAATGTTGCATCCTGCAGCTCAGAACTTCCAGGGAACTTCCTGGATAGCTTTCCTTGTTTTATTTTAGCTTTTTCCTCTCCCAATCCCCCAGAACAAATATCGTCTGTAACATTACAACAGCCTGGGATGGCAAAGCTGGAGACTCCCGAGCAGGAGCTCAGTGGGAGCAGGCTGGAGGGGAGGGAGGGTGCTCAGTCACTTCCCAGTTCCTCTCTGCTCACTGCCTGTGTGCAAGAGATGCTCGTAAAAACTTTCCACTCCGTGTACGTTGGCTTGTGACCAAGCTTGTGTGCTGAACTGGCAGAAGGTACCTCCTCATTCTGAGACAGTCGAGTGCTCTCCTGGAGGTTTCTTTCACTCCACAGCTTTTCTTTCCTCAAAAGCCAGGCGAGTCCTTTGTGCCTCTGGGTTCCTGAGTTCAGGGTTAGTCCTTTGTGACTCTTCAGCACGATTATTAAGTTACCATTTTGTGTTGTTCTGAGCTGGCCTGGCTGGGCAGCATGGTTACACACACAGGTGCCCATGGTGGGATGTGCTGTCGCTGGGTCTTGGGGCGGGGATGCAGGGCTGAACCATCACCAGCACACCTTAATCCACAGAGAGCTGATGAAGGTCCTTGGCAACCACCAAGGACTCGTGCAAGAACAGAAATGAACCATTTGGCTTCTGTTCTGTTTAAGCTGCTTAAAATACAAGTCAGATAAACACAGAGGTGTCAGCAGCATCACCAGCTTAACGTAACAAGTGCACCTGAGATCAGTAATTGTCAGAAATAAATCATTTTGCAGTAAGGAGTTTTATTAGCAAGTTTCTTCCCAGCTGGTCATACTGGGCCTTGCAGTGAGAGCTGAGGTTTCTATTCCTACCAAGTTATTTCTCTGCTGGTAATTTGGCTCAGGGGTGTTTGGTGCATGGATGTTTGTTCTCTCCTAAGAGCACCTATTTGGCTGTCAATGAAAGTAGAGAAGTTCTTTAGAGTTAAATAGTTTCCCTGAAGCCTTGTGTGCATTTAACTATGTAAACAAATGTCATACAGGGCTCAGCTATTGCTTTATTTACTTCCCTGTCAGCGTGTTTGATTCAAGCCAGTTCCACATTGGCTGAAAATTATTAGGAGCTGATGGATATTTAATCAACAGGCGGTGGCTTTGATCCAGCTCCTGCTGGACAGGCTGCAGAATAATGTGAACCCTCCTCGTCACTCCATGCTGTCCCTGGTATTTCTGGCAGAGCACTGGGCAGGTCAGGAGGACGTGGGTCCTCTCCAGTACCAGGTCTTCTTGGAGGTGAGCTGAGGGAGCCTGCAGATGAAGAGACGTAGAGGGGGCTTAGGAAGCCTCCTTGGGAATTTTCCTAATAGAAATAAGAGCTGTTAGTGCTAGGCAGGCCTCTCAATACTTGTCCAATTGCTACAGGATATGTATTTGGTTTTAAAAAAACCCAAACCAACACCTAACAGATCTACTGGAGGGATTGTTTTCACAGGCTGCCAAACCATCTGTGTGAAGGTAACACGGTTTGTGTTAAGCCATTTGTCATCCTTCTGCCTGATGCTCTTTATCCTGGGCTAAATCTCTCAAGATGAGCATCGCCTTTGTTGTGGACAGGATGGGCTATACTGATCTAAAACAAATCTCATAATTGCACGTAATTTAATTGCAGTTTAGTTCTAAAATGTTCTGAGCACATGGTCCTTTAGCAGAGCTGTGAGCGTGTTGTTCAACAGGGTGATTCTCAAGCTGAAAATTATGCTGAAATATTTGACAGAGTGCTCAGTGCCTTGCACAGTCAGGCCCTTGACACCTCAGCCTCTGGGAAGAGTATAATTGTATTGAACATGACACATTAATAGTTTTACAGACTAAGCAGCATATTTAATGATTTTTAAATGGGTTATGTCAGCTTGTCCTCTTTCTCTTATCCCGGTCAGAGAATGACATGACTGTACAGGGTGAAGTGATAGCTCACTCACCATTCCAGCACTGGTTTGGGTTAAATGAGCTGTTTTTCTGCCTTGCTGCCCTGTCTGGATTGTTGATGTTTTGCCCTGAGATACCTCTGGCAGAGCCATCCATCAGTGTTAAAAATCCATCCGGCTGCAGAGCTGAAGCTAGCCCTAGGGAGCAGGTTACTCGGGGAGGAAACATCCAATTACTGCAAAGTGCTGCTCACCCGAAGGAGAACAAGGAGGAATTGATACGTTGACATCAGCCAGGCTTTCAGCTTTAATAGGAAGCTATAAATGGAACATGCAGGTACAATTCCCATTCAGCTCGATGGACACTGTGTCTGTGGGTGTTACAGCCCCCTAATGAACAGTCTGTGTGTGACTGACAGTCACAGCACTGCACAAATCCACTCCACGGGCCAGTGCAGCACGGAGTAAGTCTGATCTTCTCAAACCAGACTGCAAAGAGGACATGTGCAAGGCAGTGTGGAATGGGTTTTAATTACATTGACCTTGCCATAGATGGTGGAGCCCATCCTGCACTGTTACCTTCACTGCTGTGTGACAGGAGCCACTGTAAACTGCAGTCAGGAACCTTTAAAAAACAACCCAAAAAAAAAGTGAAAACCTCACATGTTCATAAACTGGGAGCACAGGGCTGGGAGTGCCCAGGAACCAAGAACTGCCACAGTGTTTGGCTGTGGGCAGCTGTCTGGCAGGGAAGGCCCTGGGGGTGCTGGTGGAGAGCTGGCTGAGCATGAGCCAGTGTGTGGCCAAGAAGGCCAATGGCATCCTGGCTTGGATCAAAATGGTGTGTCCAGCAGGAGTAGGGTGGTGACTGTGCCCCTGGACTCGACTCTGGGGAGGCCACAGCTTGAGCACTGGGGTCAGGTTTGGGTGCCACAAGAGAAGAAAGACCTTGAGGGGCTGGAGTGGGTCCAGAGAAGGGCAACAAAGCTGGTGAGGTGTCTGTGGAACATGACTGTGAGGAGCAGCTGAGGGACCTGGGGGTGCTTAGTGTGGAGAAGAGGAGGCTAAGGGGAGATCTTCTGCCTCTCTACAACTCCCTGACAAGAGGCTGGAGTGAGGTGGGGGTTGGTCTCTTCTCCCAAGCAACCAGTGGTAGGACAAGAGGAAATGAGCTGAAGTTGTGCCAGGGAAGGTTTATATTGGATGTTAGGAAGGATTTTTTTTCTGACAGAGTGGTGAGGCCTTGGAACAGGTCTGGAGTCACAATCCCTGGTGGTGTTCAAATAACGTGGGGACAGGGTAGTTCAGGACATGGTTTAGTGGTCATGGTAGCATTGGGATTCTATGATTATTTGATAATCCTAGAGGTCTTTTCCATCCTTAATGATTCTATGATTTTTGGTGTCTCCAACATCCTAAATAGTTGATGTAGGTAGAAACTCCAGACTTGTAGAGATTTGCCTGCACAAATGCATGGGTTCTATCCTGATTGCTACTGTGTGTGTCCAGGCTTGGCTGTGATCCCCTCATTCAGGCTGCTGATGGTTTCACAGGCAACACAGGTAAGGCAGCAGTCATGCCCGTGTAGGCACTTGCTTCCAGACCCTTTAATCCTTTCCAGGGCCACCAACAGGGAGAGCACGAGCATACCCCTGATCTTCCAGTGCCTAGATAATATTATTGACAAGCAATGCCAGAGCAAACGGTGCAGGTTATTACACAGAGCCTGAAAGCTGCTCCATGGTGGTCTCGTCTAGATAAAGTAACCTCCAGTCCATCCTGTAAAATCCATCTGCCCCCCAGATCGAGCTCCTGGTTCAGGTTTGGCCTTCTGATGATGGTCTCAGGAGGTGAAGTGTCAGCTTCTCCTTCCCTTGGTGCTTCCAGCGAGCTGTGCCACGCTGGAGCAGGTCCCCTGGCATCACCAGAGGCTTTGCCTCCTGCCAGGCAAGCTGGTATCCGTGCAAATCCTGAAGGGCAGCTGCAGATCCAAGCAAGCCCCTGGAGAATTACCAGAGAGAAATGTTCGATGGTCTTGTCCTCTGCTTTTGTGGCTTCTCTTGGTGAAAGGTCTGTACAGTCCTCCCAGGGATGCCACCACACAGAAGCCCCATTTTGCTTTACAGGTATGTTAAGTAATTTTATGAATTCTTATGCTATCCAGTTAACAGGCCTGTACCAGGACTGCAGTTCTGATCTCAGAAGAGCTCCCTGCTCTCTTGTGCTTATTCTGCTTGTTAAGCTTTATTTGATTAAAGAAAAGAGGCAGCTTGGCTTGTGATAGGATAGCTCTTGTTTGCAGAAGGAGACTCCTGCCCGAGCTGTTGAGCACACCCATAGGCCAGTAGCTGTCCACTTCTGCTGAATACACCAGTAAGTTATGAGCTCTCCAGGGAGAAAGTTGAGGCTATAAATAACTTGTATCTGGGCATATTTGTCATGAAAACAAACATACAACGTTCTGAGAATAGAAAGCAGCTATTTTAACTATGGACTAACTTAAACTGTAGAGTAGCTTGCGTGTTTCCCATGGGGGTGGTGGGACCCTGCTGGCTGCTGGCCAGGAGAGCTGCTTGCCTTGCTCTGCTCTGCTCTGCTCTGCTCTGCTCTGCAGGGCTGCTCTCCAGGCTTCCTGCACCACGGGCGGAAGGAGAAGGTGTGAGGGGTGAGCTCCACTGCCTGCCTCCCAGCTCCTTCTGGGGTGGGTTTGCTCTGTTCGTGTGGCCCAGGGCTGCAGGGCGGGGTCTGGTCGTTCAGGAAACGCCTCTGAAGGGCCAAGCTGCAGACCCTGCACACGCCTTCGTGGGACACAGAAGTGATCCCTCTAGGCTGGCGTTCTGAAAAGCACTCGAGTGTGTACTTGACCTTAGCTGCTCCCGGATAAAGATGCTTTCCTGGATGCAAGCCTTGAAAAGAGGAGAACTAGCAGGTGTTGACAGGGTTTGTCTTCCTCTCCCCCAGGTTGCCATGGTGGAGGTGCAGCTGGAGGTGCAGTACAAGTACCCCCAGATGCTGCTGATCGCTTTCAGCGCCTGCACCACGGTGCTGGTGGCCGTTCATCTCTTCGCCCTCCTCATCAGCACCTGCATCCTGCCCAACGTGGAGGCGGTGAGCAACATCCACAACCTGAACTCCATCAGCGAGTCCCCCCACGAGCGCATGCACCCCTACATCGAGCTGGCCTGGGGCTTCTCCACCGTCCTGGGCATCCTCCTCTTCCTTGCCGAAGTCGTGCTGCTGTGCTGGATAAAATTCCTGCCCGTGGGCTCCATCCTGAAAAACGAGACCACCAACGGCGAGAAGCCCAGCGGGCACGCGGGCTGGCAGTCGGCGCTGGTCTCCACCATCATCATGGTCCCGGTGGGGCTGATCTTTGTGGTCTTCACCATCCACTTCTACCGCTCCCTGGTGCGGCACAAAACGGAGCGGCACAACCGGGAGATCGAGGAGCTCCACAAACTGAAAGTGCAGCTGGATGGGCACGACAGGGGCATGCAGGTCGTGTGACTGAGGGGCCGAGGCTGCTCCCAGCACGTCCACGCAGCCGAGGCCAAGAGCAAAATGCCCCTTGTGCTAGTTGGTGAGACACACCAGTGATGGGTTGTCTTGAGGCTTAAATGTGTAACCGCTGCCTGCCTGCCCTGTCTGGCTGTGGGTTGTAGTGCTGCTTCAGTGCCGGGGTCTCTGGCCTGGCTGGGGTCCTACACACTCGGGTCCTTCATCTGGCACTGCCGTGGGGTTCAGCATCAGAACCTTACCTACCTTGGCGTTGGTTCTGGTAGCCAGAAGTCTGTATTTTATACAAATGCAATATTCTGATGCCAAAAGTAAACCTGCATCAGCTGTCCCAAAAGCCAGTGTGTGTGTGTGAGGGTGTGTGTAGGACCTGTCCTATGTGTCAGAACTCCCCGGCTGTCAGTGCAGCAGCAATTAACTGGCAGCTCATTTCTAGAGCTGAGCTGGTTAATGTGGGTATCTGCAGCTGAATCGAGGGCATTCAGGAGAGCACAACAGAAACTCACCTTTGTTCCAAAGCAAGTATTCCATAAATACATAACCCGAAAGAAATCAGCCTTAGCTTTTATGTTCTTTCTTTGCTATTCCTTACTATATTTTTTACAGCTAGGGAGGTAGAATTTAGTATTGCAGGAGGCTGGGAAGTTCTGTTGTACTTTCTTCAGCAGCATCTGTCACTTCAGACTGAATGAATGCCAAGATCATGTGTTATTTCCCAGTAAGAGTTGAGGGTGCCTAGGGAAGGCTTACAGGTGTTTTAGTTTTCACAAGGACATTCTTAAAACAGAACAGAGACAGTGAGTTTAATGAGACAAAACTTTGAAGAACTAGAAAACTAGAAGTTTCAAGGAGGTAAGAAGTGACAGCATATAGCACACTGTGGAGATCTGTCACTATGTCATCTTCATTTATGTAGTGTGGTGATGGATTTTGCCTGGTTTGCTGGAGAGAACGAGCCCCTGTCCTGCATATTGCATTGTCATTTGGGGGTTTTGTTTGTGTTTGGTTGGGTTTGGGGTTTGTTTGGTTTTTTTGTTAGCTGTAGCATTTGTCGGTCAAACTCAGATGCTTCCTTCTTCCTCCACCAAAGCAACTTGGGTGGAACCTGGAGCTGTACTGGTGAGTCTGACAGAGCTGGATCCAGCCAGGAGAGCTGTGTGCCATTAAAGAGCTATCACCTTCCATTAGAGAAACCAACCCTGGCACGTCTGCGTTGCTTAGCAAGGGAAGCTTCTAAATTCTGTGCCATCCTCGTGGGTGAAAACTTCTGTAAAAATGATTTTATGGTGTATGCTAACTCTGTGGAGGGTAAAGGGGTTTTTGCAACCATCAGCTCTTTTAAGGGAGAGTGAGGCTTTCTGCCACACAGGGCTGAAAGAAGCATCAGCTCCACTTTCTTGGCCCTGATCCTGGGCTGGTTTCCTGCTCTGCACTCAAACGTTGCTGTTTCAGAGTCTCCCAGGCCGCCTAGGTTTCTGGAATCATTAAGGATGTTTGTCATGTTCTATTTAACCCTGGTCCCTTATTCCACTGGGGTTTGAGCAATCCAGTGGCAGTGTATTAGATGTCAGCCTCCCAGAAGGGAGCGTACGAGCGGATCCCAGTGCAGAGGGTGAGACTCTCCCTCTAGTCCTCTCTGGCGAGGGCCTTGGGAACCCAGCTCTGGTCTCTCTTGTTTACAGGCGAGTTTGAGCGTTGCTGAACAAGTTGCTTAGCTCTGTGTCTGTGCCTGTGCCATTCATCTGCTGTTCTTGCTGCAGTTGTCATGGACCATACTGGCTGATGTGCAGCAAAGAAACTAGTCTGTGTGTGCCACACTAGTCTGTACTTACGCACAATGCAAAGCAACAAGGAGTGTCCTCCAGGAAGTGGGTGTCCATGAAATTCATACCACCTCCTGAGGAGCCTGCCCTTTCTCCCTCCTCCTTTTACCATAATAAAAATTAAAGGTTTATACAGTGAAACCAGAGTTGAGTTTTCTGCCAAGTATTACACATGTCAGCCCTTCTACTAACAACATTTCTATGGTGAGGCCAGAGCCAGGCCAGTTGGAGTGAATCTTTGTGCTTTGCACTCTTTAACATCAGTACTAATAGGACTCTGTGTGCTGTGGAGCTCGGGAGGTTGTTGAGGAAAGTATTGAGCCATTTTTTGCAATTTAAAAAAACAAACCAAAACAAAACACCAAAAGGTTTCACAGTGTGCATAGAGTGGTGCAGAAGCAAGGCAGCTGCATTTGGGAACAGCCCAGTTGTTCATTTAATTCTTTGCAAATTTAATAAACTTCAGCAAATGGAGAAATGCAGCAGAAACTGCTTTGATTTTGGGGGATAATTCAGTGAGGCTTTGGTGGGATTGGATTGAAGAGCAGTCTCCAGGCAGTGCAGCTGTGACTGGGAGTCCCACTGTGACCTGTGGGATCACCTCACTCCAGCAGGGAGTCTGAGCTACAGTCTGAAATGGTGTCCCAAGGGCAAGGGCACTTGGAACAGAATAATAATGTGCTTTCCCATCTTCGCTTGCAGCTTTGTGTCTTGTGTCTCTCTGGGCACCAAGTTCTCCCAGGAGAAGGCTGGGGGTGTATTTTTGCTCTGTGACTCTGGCGTCTGGGATCTCTCTAGGTTACCCATCACCTTTGTTCTCTAACTCCTCTCCTCCTTCCCCAAGAACAGCATTTGCTTTTCTTGCTCCTGCTTCTTTTCCTCCAACTTGTTCCCACTTTCACAGCTGTTTGGTCCAGACTGTGCTGTGGAGAGACTGCCCGTGGTACCAGCCACGGCAGCTCCTCTGTAGAGAGGCAGGGACATTGTACTTGCCCAGATGGGTGTTCCTGTGCTGCGGTGCCAGAAAATGCTCCTTGCTCTGCCCCTGTGCCCGTGGCTGTCAGCAGGTTCCCCTCAGTCAGGCGTGCAGATGCCTGGGTGCCAGCTGGGCTGGCACTGCCTGCTGTGCCTGTCACCTCCCTGCCATTCCTGGCGTGCTCCAGGTTCCGTGTGGCTCTGTTCCTGCCGTGCCTGTAGAGATGCTTCTCCCAAAGGTCCCACCTTCAGGCTGGGGCCATGGGTTGAGGATCTCCCCTGATCTGAGTGTTAGATTTCTGTAGAAGCCTTGGACCCTGGGGTGCTGTAGTTTGGGGTGGCTGTTGCCCTTATTTTCAGCTCCCCTGGGCTGTGACTCTCTGGACTGGTTATTGCCTTGTTGGGGCCATTTCTCTGATTTCTGCAGTGGGACTCGTTTTGGCTTGCTGCAGGGGACAGTCATCATCTCACCCCATGCTCCTGAGTCCTCCTTCAGTTTGGGTTGGTTTTTGGTTTTTTTTATGGATGGATTTTGCCTGGCAGAAAAATGCCTCTGAAGGCCCCAGTGTTGGAGGGACCAGTTAGAGGACTTAGTAGTGTTGCCTTGATGGTTGGACTTGATGATCTTGGAGGTCTCTTCCAACCTAAAAGATTCTGTGACTCTAGGACCCTGAAGCAGGGCAGGAGCTGTCAAGGACAGGGATACAGGTTTGGCTGTTTGGCTACAGGGCTTTGGTTTAGGAGGCAACTCCTCTCTCTACCTCTCTCATTAGCAGGAGCCAAGGCCAGGCACGAACACGAGCTGGAGGGAGCTGCTGGAGCCAGAGCAGTGTCAGGTTCTCCCTGTGCTGTGGTTAGTGGCAGCTCTTACTCAGCAAGCTCCCTGTTTTTAACATCAGCCTGGGGCAGGCCTGGCTCTGGTAGCTGCTGCCCTGTTGTTTTGGGGGATATGTGACTCTGGGGAGGCTCCACGAGCAGGAGGGATGGAGGAAGTGTTGGATTCGACTGTCTGGGCCTGACCCCCTGAGGGATGAAAATGATCCTGTGAGAGCCCGGGGTGGAGCTGGCACCTGTGAAGTGTTTGTGGAGAGCTGGGGGGTGGGTGCAGCTCCAGCACCAAGGTCCTGACGCTGGGTGGGGGAGGGAGGTGCAGTGGGACTGGCTGCTCACACTTCACCTTCACCTCTTGCCTTTCCATCGCTCTATGTGGGGTTTCATAATACCCTTTCTCTTCTTTCCCTGCCTCACACCCACCAAACAAAAGGCCTTTGAGGTTCCCTGCTGCTTGTAGCTTCGTTATCTTCTAAATCTTGTTGCACTGAATTTTAGGTCATCTTACTCAATAACCCCCTGAAGCTGCAACCTCAAATTCAGACCCCAGCACAAGTGGGCCAACGTGGCTCTTTTCTGATGATCTTCTGGCAGGCTGCCTCCTCTGCACCCGTTGGACATCCCTGTGAACATGTACGACTGGGAGCTCACCTTCTGCCCAGGGCTGTGACAACAAGGAGTGCTAGGAGAAAAGAAAACACCAAAACCTCTGTATTTTAGCTTTGCCTATTGTTTTATCTCTGCATGAGCAATATTTAATGTAGAACAACGTGTGTATCTCAGTTCCTGTTCACCTCTGTGAGAGAAACTGGATAAACTTGCCAAGTTTTATGCCTCTTGCTGATTTCAGACTGATTTTTTTTTTTTAAAGGCAGCTCAAGTCCTCCAGCATCCTCTATGGGTTAACTTGGGTTTTGCTTTTTTTTTAATAAAAGCTTCACCAGATATTATCCTTCTTCTTTTAAAATCCACAAGCAGATAACAGTTAGCTGACACTTCCTTTTAATGAGGCCCTGGTTCTTGAAATGTTTTACACGTCCTAATGTCAGTTATGGAGGCAAACAGCTGTGACAGGAGTTCCTGTCACATGAAGACCATTGATGTTTGTCTTACATTAAGAATACTAACATAGTAGCCAAAATTACTTTTTAAGAGCTAATTAAGATTGATTATAAAACCTCCTTATACTTTTCTCTGGTTTCTATGATACTTGACCATCAAGCCAATCATTATGTTCTGCAATGCTGCAATTCTGGCTTTGTAGGAGAGAATTTCTGAAGTTTTAGAAGGCAATACAGAACCAGTGGGCATGTAATTGCATTTTCATCTATGGTGATGCCCAAGAAGCTGTTAAACGGGTGG